ACAAACCGCGGGGGGGGGGGGGGGGGGGGGGGGGGGGGGGGGGGGAACCTTGGGAGAAACCAGGCTCAGTTGGGTGGCCAGTTCTCGTCTGACCTTAATGAACAAGCAAAGTGTGATTTATGATTCCAGACTTTCACCTGAAATGGTTTGTGTTTCCCAAATTTATGTTCTTTTCTCTTCAGGGTGCAACTTTCAGAGAGCCTGACTAAGCTCCAAGATTATGCCCAGTCCACCTCCCAGACTCTGACTCCCTATGCTGAGACCATCTCCAACCAGTTCCTGGAGAACACCAAGCAGCTGCGCGAGCGTGTCATGACTGACGTCGAGGACCTCCGTTCCAAGCTGGAGCCCCACCGTGCTGAGCTGTACGGGGTGCTGCAGAAGCACTTTGACGAGTACCGTGAAAAGCTGGAGCCCGTCTTCCAGGAGTACGCCAACCTGAACCGTGAAAATGCTGATCAGCTGCGTGCCAAGCTGCAGCCCCTGTTGGAGGAGATGAGGCAGAAGTTCGAGACCAACGTTGAGGAGACCAAGTCTAAACTTGTGCCGATGGTCGAGGCCGTACGCACTAAGCTGACCGCGAGTCTGGAGGAACTGAAGACCATGGCCGCCCCATATGCTGAGGAATACAAGGAACAGCTGATGAAGGCTGTCGAGGAGGCCAGAGAGAAGCTTGCCCCACACACCCAGGACCTCCAGACACGCATGGAGCCCTACATGGAGAATGCCAGGGCCAGGTTTGCACAGGTGTATGAAACCATCTCCAAAGCCATCCAGGCATAAAAATGCACAAGGACTTTGCACACTCAGATCTTCAGACAACAGCAAAGAACAGATATTCTTGTGTCTGGAGATGGAAGGAGTGTAGATGCAAGGGTTGTGTTATGAATGTTTATTATGTTCAAGTTAAATAATCTTTGATGTAATAATGTAAACATATAAAATGCAAAAAAAAAAACTTTGCGTCAGTGTTTTCTTACATTCTGAAACAATATGGTATAATGTCCTAATACAGTTTTTATATTGAACAATATTATCATTTATTTAAAAAAGGGTAACTATAAGTGATTACAAAACATTTCCTCAATGTATAAAGCTCTCCACATAAAGGCCTCTGTTGATCCTTAATTTAATAAAATACACAAATAATATAACTGCAGCACTTTCCAGTTAAGTACTGTTTTCTATCACTTGGAAAAGTTCCGAAAGAAACATTTTATTTTGTTTTGGAGATTGTATGTATGGTATATGACCTTTATAAAAGCATACATAAGAGGATTAAACTTCAGGGTGTGTTTCAAAATCTTTGAATTAACACTGAATACTGAAAAAACGACTATTCATTTTGTGAGGATTTCCATTGATCTGCAAAGTAGCATCAATTAGTATAACAGCATACTGTCCTTATAATAATTATTAACTGACCAGGAATGGAACAATATGTTTTTATATTAACCAGAGTTATCATAGAATTACAAAAACTTAATTCTCAAGTGTCTTGATAACTATTTATATGATCATTCCACTTATTTTTTTGCAGGTATAGGCTCAGCTATGACTGTGTGTTTTCTCTTGAAGTCAGACCTTACTTGGATGGGCAGAAAGGACAGGAGTTATTCTTGCTGGTCTTGAGCCAAACACTAACACACTAAAGAAAAGGAGAGAAAAAACAGTTATTAGAACACAGACAAGGCAAATAATGTGCCTTAAATGTATTTTATGAAGGTTCCACACTCACTTCTTTGTGCATGGTATGGCAGCACTTGGTGTTGTACTGGCTTCCAGCATCCACAGGATTCTGACACATCAAACAAAATTTCCGGGTAGAGGACTGACAGAGACAGAGAAAAAGTGTGTATATTTATATGGTTTAAAAAAAAAACGAATGACCAAAGTATTTAAAGGTATTCTAACACATTCAAAAAAAATCCGAATACTGGTTTTCCTGGTTGGTTTATGGATATACCTTAGGAAATAATATGCAGTATTATAGTATTACCCTACTGTAAAATATAGTAGGGTTTTGTAATGAGATTAAAAAAACAGTAATAATCTTTGTTAATGTGTGTAAATATTTTGTTACAATATTCCCAAAAGATTGAATATCCTGTTGTATAGGGTTAATTTGTCTCTTTAAAGAACAAAGAAAAAAAAAACACTTTTTGTCTTAAGCTAATAGCATACATCCTGAATTAGGCATATTAGTTTTACACTTGATACATTTCTCCTTACCAAGAGAACAACTTCAGTATAAAAGTGGCACAGCTTTCCCTACACTCCCCTATAGTTCAGAGGATTTTGTTAAATGTGATTTAAGAAAAGGGGTTTAAAGTTAAATTCTACCTGCGGAGGTCTTGTGTGGAAGACCTGAGCAACTGGGGGTTGGAAATGAGGCCTCATGGGATGCGGTGGCTGGGCTACGGGACGCTGAATCGGACCAACTGAAGCAGGAAAGGCTCTTGGTCCAGATGGAGGTGCTATAGGCCCTGGATGCTATAACAGCGATAAAATTAAAAATGATACAGGCAATGCACAGAACAAAACGAACAATAAAAACACATTATGTACGAGTGAAATACACACCGGTTTTTGGATCTGCGCAAGTCTCAGTGCAACCTGCTGAGTAAGATCATCAATCGACATGCCAGCCATAGTACCACGCTCACTCTTGATTTGCTGTAGAACACGTGTCAACTGATCTCTAATGCAGACAAAAACAGAGATCAATTACAAAAAGCAATCAACAAACTGTGTCAAAGGAAGACAAAAAAAATCTACTAAAATTACACTGGTTCCTAAGAATGTACTTGGAAGGAAACAAGCTTATCAAAAAACTGTGTGATTTCAGTACCTTTTGCATTGTGGGAAATGTGAGCCCAGTCTCTCCAGCAACTTATCCAGTTTTCCTGCTGGCGCAGGATTGGAGGGAAGGGGCTGGGGGGAGGAGTTACGAGCAGACGTGGATGGCATGAATGTTTGGGGAAGGCGCACTGCAGCTTGGGGTTGAAAACTGGCTCCGTGATTATTTGGCAATACAACAAAGGCGCCTGCTGAGGCAGCTGGAACGCCTACATGTGTCTGTGGTAGGATCGGTGGGGCTGGTGTAACAGGTGCATGGGATGAGGTTTGAGACAGGGAGATCGTTTGCATGGGTATTTGAGGGGCAGGTGCATGAGTTGTCATGGGAACATAAATGTTTAGGACGTGTGCAGATTGTGGACCTATCGTGATGGGTAGGTATGGTGTGGTTTGAGGAGATGGGGCAGAAAGTGGCGGTGTGGCCCTTTGGGGTGGTGTGATTGAGGAGTGGAGTTGTGGGTGAACTATAGGAGGAGAAGTTGTTGTAGTCGGCAGACCACTGTTGAAAACGGGATGGGATGTAGGATTCTGAAGTGGACTCATTATCTCCAACTTCGGAAAGGGAAAAATAAATGATACACACAGAAAATATACATTACTTATATAATTACTTGTAAACTAAATCTATGCAAAAATAATGATTAAAAAATGAAATTTAAATAGTCACATTATATTCACAAAACATAAATATGACTGGATAGGCCATGTTTCGAACTGTGGAAAACCAGCTACTTTAAAATGGCTAGTTCATCAACTCTCTACCAGATTATCAATTCATCAACTCTCTACCAGATTATCAGTTCAACAACTCTCTACCAGATTATCAATTCATTAACTCTCTACCAGATTATCAGTTCAACAACTCTCTACCAGATTATCAGTTCAACAACTCTCTACCAGATTATCACTTCAACAACTCTATACCAGAATATCAGTTCAACATCTCTCTACCAGATTATCATTTTAACAACTCTCTACCAGATTATCAGTTCAACAACTCTCTACCAGATTATCAGTTCAACAACTCTCTACCAGATTATCAGTTCAACAACTCTCTACCAGATTATCAATTCAACAACTCTCTACCAGATTATCAGTTCAACAACTCTCTACCAGATTATCAGTTCAACAACTCTACCAGATTATCAGTTCAACAACTCTCTACCAGATTATCAATTCAACAACAGCATGGCATCATACACTAGCGTTCAATGGTTTGGGTGCAGTGAGAATTTTTTTGAAAGAAATTAATACTTCTATTCAGCAAGGACACATTAATTTGATCAAAAGTGTTACAATGTTGCAAAATATTTCTATTTCAAATAATTGCTGTTCTTTTGAACTTACTATTAATCAATGAATCATTAAAGTGTATCATGGTTTCCTCAAAACTTTATTTTTACATGGATAAGAAATTATCCTTGAGCACCAAATCAGCATATTAGAATGATTTCTGAAGGATCATGTGACACTGAAGACTGGAGTAATAGCTGCTGAAAATTCAGCTGTGCCATCACAGGAATAAATTATATTTTGAAATATAGTTTTCCCTTGTAATAATATTTCACAATATTATTGTATTTACTGTATTTTCGATCAAATAAATGCTGCCTTGGTGACAACGCAACACTTTCAAAAACATCAAAAAATTAAAAATAAATAAACTTTTGAACGGCAATGTACCTCCAACCCTAGGCCATACAGTATATGAATGAACTGACACTTACTGTAGGCACTGGTGGAAGATGCGGGAGCACGACTGAAGGCAAACTGTCCAGCTGTTCACCTCTCAGTAGGAGTAGATGGTTTTCATTAAACTTATTCTGTGAATGAAAAACAGAAGGACAGAGTGAGAGAATCTGCTATCTCCCTTCACCTGTAATCCACCTATATTAGCTCCTCCCCTCACCTTTAGTCCCACCAGATTGCTGCGGATGACCGCTACATTCTGCTCCCACTTCTGCTGCTGGAGCAGGTGGTTCTGGGAAGGATTTAATCTGTCCAGAATAAGCACAAATCATATAAGATCATATCACCTTTACGCATACAAACATATTGCACATGCATACCTCTCAACACACATTAATTTACACACAATACCTGAGAAAATTCCGATATTTTTCAGCGTCTGCAATCCAGTCCTCCACTTGAGAAAGCGCAAGCTCTTTCTGCATCTCTAACGCAGCTATCTGCTCACACAGACACAGGTAAAAAAATATACAGTCAGACAGTAATATACATGATTCATTACACTGTCTGTGAGATTTCTAGAAGATGTTTGCTGTGAAGGTGCAGCTTTTACCTCATCTTGAAGAACGGTCTGACTGGCCTGCTCTGCCTGTCTGCAGAGTGTCTCCATTTCCACCCTCAGGTCAGCTATTTCCTGCTCCCAGGACAGCCTGTCACATACACAAGCACAAAAAAAAACAGATAAACACAGATACAGAGACATTGTAGGTATTTCTTCTTTTATGTTTTTAATTTTTTACTTTTCTTGATTCTGTTCCTCAATCAGCATCTTGAGTTTCTTTTCTGTGTCCTCCAGCTCCTGAGCCAGTCTAAAACACACACAAATCTTATTTAAATTCAATGACCCATCCAATATTATGTGCATTCAGCAAGGACACATACAATTGATCAATAGTGACCAAAAGACATTTTTAATGTACAAGTTATTTTTCAAAAAAAAAAAAAGAAAAGAAAAGAAAAAATGCTGTTTTTTAAAAGTTTATATTCATCAAAGAATCCTGAAATAAATGTATCAGTTTCCACAAAAACATTAAGCAGCAAAACTGTTTTCAACATTGATGATAAATGTTTCCGGAGCTTTGCCATCAAAGAAATTAATTACATCTTAAAGTATATTAAAATAGAATATGGTTAAATTGTGATAATATTACTGTTTCACAGTAGTTTTGATCAAATAAATGCAAACTAATTTTAAACAGCAGTGTATATTCTGCCCCAAGCGCACAGCTGGATTTGATAAAATACCTTGTTTTCTCATCTTCCATCCGCTCTTTCTCTGCAGTAAGATCTTGCCGCTTTACCATGAAGTTTTTCCGTGTGGTCTTGCTGCTATTCAGCTCCAATTTAACTTGCAAAGATTCAATTTTTTCTATAAAACACTATACAAATAAAAAACAAACGACATTTCAACAATAAAAATTAGATAATACCAGAGGCTTTTGACTAAGACGCTTCTGCACAAAGTAGCATTCCCTAGTGAGTTCAAAGGAGATTAAGCACTGCTATTCAAATAACCATGTGTAAATGTCAAAACCTCTACAGATTGGATATAGTGGTAGTTTCTTGATGTAAAGATGTGATGCTGAACCTGGTACTGATGATTTCCGTCAACTCTTGTCTTGCCATGACTGCGGACATGGAGGTTGTGCTCCTCCTGCTCTGCTGCATGCTGCTTCATAAGGGCCTCATACTGCTCACTCAGCTCAATACTGCAGTCTTCTAAAGCACGCTACAGAGAAAGAGAGAAAGATAGATATACATTAGGGTCTGAAAGTCTGAGAAATTTGAAGAAGATTATTATTCCAGGAAATAAAGAGAACAAGAAAACAACAACAAAAATTAATATTTACTTTGAACTCCACACAAATTCACATTTCCAAAAACATCTAACACACATTTATAAACTCCACAAACAGTTAAACAAAAAAAGAGCAGGGTTCCAAGGCAGATTTTTCTTCCAAATTCAAATTTAGAAAACAAGTTTGACATTTTTGCTACAAATCTTTCAAAAGAACAATAACAAGGTTGTTCTGTCCAGCAGTACAAGGCTGAAGTCTCTCTCTCACACACACACACACACACAAATACAGGTTACACTGTCATGCAAACCCATTACAAATTTAAAGCAAAACATGTTTTGGCCAATTTATGAGCATTTCAAGGACCACTTCAAATGTCCTTACAAATAACTGTTCATCATGTTTCACTATATTTGTGAGGATATTTTCAAGCGTGTTGTTCGCTAGCATAGCTTGTACACATACACACACACACACACACACACACACACACACACACACAGGTTTCCCTGTTGTATGGAGACCAACTTTATGATCATCACCTGTGGGGACCACCCTTTCTAAAGGTTTTAGAGGTCTGAAAAAAATATGGAAAACCATTGCCTATACACAACTTCAAATGTCTGAACTGATGAAGTAATGACTTCACCATGCTAAATTCGGACTTCTAAAAAAATTGAGTGAACATGCCTGATAGGGACCTTATTTGTATATTATTTGCATAATACACACACATTCCCACTTGATTTGTGGGGACCTTGCAACAACATGTAAGTTTTAAGAAATCTGCTGCTTTTAAATGCCGTAGATGAAGTGAGCCAACATTGGTTGCTTTGGATTAGGCCTAAAAGCTTTTAGAGCTGGAAAGTAAAATGTTGTTTCGATATTGTTTTTCAATGCTTTTAATTTTTTTTATTTAGGAGTAGGTTGATTATTATTATTTGAAGTAATATTGATAGAGCTTTCAAGTGGGGCTGGTAAGATTTTTAAAATGTTTTTGAAAGAAAACATATATATATGCTTTCAAAGGTTGCATTTATTTGATCAAAAATACAGTAAAATCAGTAATAATGTGAAATATTATTAACATTTTAAATTAACATTTAGTTTTTAATATATATATTTTTTCATTATATCAATGTAAGTGTCTTAACTCTCACTTTTCATCAGCTGAATGTGTCCTTGCTGAATGAAAGTAAGTATTATTATTATTTTAAAATCTTACAGACTTTTTGAATGGTAGTTTACTTGTTTAGCAACAACAAATTATTTACTATTAATTATCAAACTATTTGTGTGAATTTGAAATGGGCAGGAAATGGAAGTTGACAGGAAAAGGAAGTAAATGAATTACAATGACAAGAAATTAATTGCATGCTGAGAACTTTGTCCTGACAAACTTGGCTTTTCAAGTTGAAAATGAGTTATTAATTATTAATATAATTTCTTTGTGTTTCAATTAATTCCACTTCCTTGCATTCAAATTTAAATTGGAATTCTGCATCCTGAAAATGAGTTGCAAAATTAAAAGGCCTTTCAATTCAGTTCTGCATGGCACGCAACCATGCTGTTTTTGAGCACGAGAATTCCCATGCAGCCTATATTAATATTGTGTTCAGAGTAATAATGCACCTAGATTCTCTGTATCTGCTGCCCCTTGTGGTGTGGAGATCACTTTATCTCCATTTAGTCGGAGCTATAGTGTGAAAAGCACACAGAACCAGCAAACCCAAAAATGTCACACAATCACAAGGGATAAAGTCAGAGCAACGTCCGCTCCCTTTCCCCTGGTCAACACACACACACACACACACACACACACAAATACAGGTTACACTGTCATGCAAACCCATTACAAATTTAAAGCAAAACATGTTTTGGCCAATTTATGAGCATTTCAAGGACCACTTCAAATGTCCTTACAAATAACTGTTCATCATGTTTCACTATATTTGTGAGGATATTTTCAAGCGTGTTGTTCGCTAGCATAGCTTGTACACATACACACACACACACACACACACACACACACACACACACAGGTTTCCCTGTTGTATGGAGACCAACTTTATGATCATCACCTGTGGGGACCACCCTTTCTAAAGGTTTTAGAGGTCTGAAAAAAATATGGAAAACCATTGCCTATACACAACTTCAAATGTCTGAACTGATGAAGTAATGACTTCACCATGCTAAATTCGGACTTCTAAAAAAATTGAGTGAACATGCCTGATAGGGACCTTATTTGTATATTATTTGCATAATACACACACATTCCCACTTGATTTGTGGGGACCTTGCAACAACATGTATATTAGTAATGATAAACGCATTTATAACAAGTAAATCAGATTGCATTTGTCCATTTGTACCTCTACAATTATGTAAAATGAAAAGATACAGTAGTAGTAGAAAACTAGTTTAAATTTTACAACTTAGCTAAGATTAGTTGGTTCCTAAGTAGTATTTGAGATGGGTCCTGCAATTGGTGATAGTGATGCATAGATTCACTCTTGCATAGAACACCTACCCCCAGTTTCACAGACAAGGCTTAAGCCTAGTCCTAGACTAAAATGTAAATCTGAGCTGTTTCAACTGAAAGAAACTTGCATTGCCTGATCTTAAAACATGTCAGTGCCTTTGTTTTGTCTTAAGATGAACTCCAGTAACGCTTTTTTTCCCTAAGGCATGTTTATAAAAATTACTTAAATGTCCTAATTGAACTATGGCTTAATCCTGGTTTAGGCTAAGCCCTGTCTATGAAACCGGGCCCTAGTGTTCTGTATATAGTCATCGTCACAACATGCAGATTTTTGGTTTGATTGATTGATTGACTGATGTTCCTAGGTTTCACAGGAATAGCAGTGTGATTGAAGTGTACAGAAAAACTTCTGTATTCACATATGAAGGATTGAAATTGTCTTCAAACGATTTTGTTTAATTGTAATGATTTAAGTGTATATCCACAGCTAACCATCAGCTACTAGTTCTCCTGATAATTCCACAGCCAACCATCAGCTACTAGTTCCCCTCATAATTCTTAAAGTGTTAGTTCACCCAAAAATGAAAATTCTGTCATTAATTACTCACCCTCATGTCGTTTCAAACACGTAAGACCTTCGTTCATCTTTGGAACACAAATTAAGATATTTTTGATGGAATCTGAGAGCTGTCTGACCCTGCATAGTCAGCAACGCAACTGAAATGTTCCCAAGTCCAGAGACGTAGGAAGGAGATCTGTAAAATAATCCATGTGACATCAGTGGTTCATCCGCAAGTATACGAAGCTACGAGAATATTTTTTGTGCGCAAAAGAAAAACATTTGTCTCCTCCGCATCACCCTTTTTTTTTCTTTACGCACGCTCGTCTGTCGCTTTAAATTCTCGAGCTCGTTACAGCAGGATTGATTCAGATTGGGTGTTACTGTTTTTGTTGTTCATCAGCTGGAAAGAAATTCCTCTGAAAGGGATTCCAACGATATTGTCTCTCTGTGCCTTGATTGTTTTAGCAGTGGTGTGGACTGTGCTATTCTTTAATATTCAGAATGATTTTTAGAACTATATCTTTATCGTTATCGTCCTTGGTGTGGCGACTAAATAAACCTCAAGACATCAAATCATTTAATTTGCTGAATGTAACTTTTAATGAGTACAACTTTACAAACATTTACAAAGTCAAATAAACCCTGCAAATAAATATTTATATTAAAATGTATAAAAAAATTACTGAGACAGAACGTAAGTGAAAAAAGGTCAAAACTGTAAAATTGTTTAACAAGGTTTGCTATTGCATTCCAGCTTGTGGCCTTCATCAGACATCTTAAATCATATAGCATTTTTTTTTTTATATGGAAACACCTTATTTGTCACCCATGTCCTCTGTTGGACACTCCCGTTGCTTCTTTTTCAACCTGTGATAAATATCTTTGTAGGTGCCCCACTGGCCAATGTGTGTGGATATAAATTATTGTTGAATAAATCAATTCTTATTTTAAAATAATAAATAAATCATTATTATTTTTTTGTTTTGCTTCACACTCTATTTGAAATGTTATTTGCAGTATAAGTTTCTGATGAAAGCTACAAGCTAAAAAGCACAGGGGCCCGTTCTTCGTACGTCGCTAACTCAGTTAGCTAACTCAGTCTGGATTTGATTGTTGACGATTTGGCATGATCTTGAATTGTTTGGTTCTTCGAAGCTCATCCCGGAGTTGCTGTAATAGCAACAGGTCCGTTAACTTAAACCTGCTCGGGAGCAGGCTTATTTAATGTAAACAGGATTAGATTGCATCTTTTTAAGCAGAATTGACACTTAATATCTGTCCACTACCACCGCTACTTTTTTTTCTATTAGTTTTTTTACAAGAGTACCCTACTAATCCAGGGACAATCATTTAAAATAATAATCATTTAAAAATTAATTTAAAGATAATATAATAATGTTGTGTAGTCTTTAATACTATAGACACAGCCAGTTTTACTCACTGAAAGATTTATTCAACATAAAATTATTACTTCATAATTGTATTCGAGTCTTACACACATGCTATACAGATAATGTAGAGCTGTGCATTAATTTGAGTGATGACAGCTATTATAGGATTGGCTTGATGGAGCGCAGGAGATGCAGATAACATGATCTTGACCCTTAAGAAACTTTAATTAATGCCATCACGTAACAAATCTGTTCAAATATAAAATTAAATGAATTGCTAATTACTACATTGAAATAAAAATGTAAAGCCTGTACAAATATTAGAAACCGTGAATATAAATAATTGGAAATCATGTAAAAAATGTAAATAAAAACAGTGCATATTTCATTTATCCATTATAACATATATGTAGTTTTGTTCGCTTGGCTGTTTCCTTATAAAATTTGTCAAATTTTTCGTCAGGTGTCTTTTTTTAATTCTATGATGTCATTACGTTGCTGTCTTGCCGCCAGCCAATCGCTGCATTGCTGATCGTGGTTCCGAGTATCGATACATAGCCCCTTTTAAACCAACCCACGAGCGCGCAATTATCTCAGATAACTCAATCCAGCCATACTAATCATCAACAACAGGTGCGTTCAAAGAACCGAATTAGCCAGATCCTGATTAGCGCGATGATATCATCTTGGATGTGATATTTAATCTAGGATGTAATAAGCGACGAACGAAGAACGGGCCCCTGGTCTTACAATAAAGTTGCTTAATATCCTACAAGTTCAATCATGACAACTCTCAGAAGATTTTAGCATGGTGATGGATATGACAATGTTAATGTATTTGGTCTTGGTGGAATAGATCTGCTACGCTGCTGCTGAATTGCTGCTCCGTTGGTTATTGCTGTAGTTGTAGATTATTGCTGCTGCTGCAAGCAAGTACAGGAACTTGCTACTGCCAATGCATATGGCGATACGGTGCCGTGAGTATTTAAGACACACTGCTGCTGCACAAATAGCATAAAACTAACCCCCCAACAAAGCTGGAAGAAGAAAACAAAACAATTAAATATGTATGCTGCTACTATACAATAATATGCTTAAAATTATCCCTATAATATAAAAGATAAAACCCCCCTTAGAACAAGCAGATCTATTGCCAAGACATATGTACTGCTAGAGCTGTGAGACCGTGTGTTTGCTATCTATCTATCGGAGTGAGCCTGGGCTGGCTTTGTCAAATGGCTTAATGCTAGTGAACTATTGCTGTGTGTACCTGATAGGTTGACCAGATAGCTTAAACTAGTGACCTGAGTTAAATGTGTTTCTGGGGTAATGGAGCCCAGATAAATTAACTAGTGGATTAACAATGTGAACCTGGGTGCTGTACCCTTAGGTTTATCAGCCATACTAATCATCAACAACAGGTGCGTTCAAAGAACCGAATTAGCCAGATCCTGATTAGCGCGATGATATCATCTTGGATGTGATATTTAATCTAGGATGTAATAAGCGACGAACGAAGAACGGGCCCCTGGTCTTACAATAAAGTTGCTTAATATCCTACAAGTTCAATCATGACAACTCTCAGAAGATTTTAGCATGGTGATGGATATGACAATGTTAATGTATTTGGTCTTGGTGGAATAGATCTGCTACGCTGCTGCTGAATTGCTGCTCTGTTGGTTATTGCTGTAGTTGTAGATTATTGCTGCTGCTGCAAGCAAGTACAGGAACTTGCTACTGCCAATGCATATGGCGATACGGTGCCGTGAGTATTTAAGACACACTGCTGCTGCACAAATAGCATAAAACTAACCCCCCAACAAAGCTGGAAGAAGAAAACAAAACAATTAAATATGTATGCTGCTACTATACAATAATATGCTTAAAATTATCCCTATAATATAAAAGATAAAACCCCCCTTAGAACAAGCAGATCTATTGCCAAGACATATGTACTGCTAGAGCTGTGAGACCGTGTGTTTGCTATCTATCTATCGGAGTGAGCCTGGGCTGGCTTTGTCAAATGGCTTAATGCTAGTGAACTATTGCTGTGTGTACCTGATAGGTTGACCAGATAGCTTAAACTAGTGACCTGAGTTAAATGTGTTTCTGGGGTAATGGAGCCCAGATAAATTAACTAGTGGATTAACAATGTGAACCTGGGTGCTGTACCCTTAGGTTTATTTAACTAATGACCTAAATAACTATGTGTGTCTGAGCCAATAGCTCAAACGTACCTAGGTAGAAATGCGCACTGTGTCATTAACAAACAGGAATCACACTGTAGGCTGATAGATGAAGTAACCCCCAGCAACCACCTGACTCGGGCTCGGGCGGCCTGAGCAAATAGTTTTAAATTTGTCATTCAAGAGTTGTATTTGTATGCGTCATGCCCAGGACTAAATCTGCCTCAAAAGCAGCTGCTCATTTATTTTGATAATTTAAAATATTTATATTGCATATTAAAGGTGCAATAGGTGATTGTCTTTAGAAACATTTTTTGTTATGCTGGTTGAAAGTCTCTTCACATCCCGATAGCAATCATTAAGTTAAGTGGTCTAAATGTATTTATCTGTATTTATATATTCTGTGGAAGGTGTAGGACCAGTGGTGAAGTGGAGGGTATACGCAGGTATACGGCATATTCCCACTTCTTTATCAGTCGGCTTTGCGTATACCCACTTCTAAATCCCCTCTGATGCGCATCATTCATTAGTGTCCTGCATTAGGCAAAATCATGACAGTCCACCACATGAACCCAAGCTAATCCAATCGCATGTAAAAAAACAAACAAAAGAACAAAACAAATATTCCCTAAAAACACCCAGTAAAGACAGTGATGCGGTCAGGACCGTGACACTGGCTTCCTTTGAAATATGTTTGATGATGGCGCCTGTGCCCTCGTCCTCCGTCCCCGACCCTAGTCAGAGAGGATGCCGATTGCCGACAGTGACAGAGATGCTGCTTCTGACAAAATGTTAATTGCTGCAGTCTTTTTTTTTTTTTTTGAATTATTGCTAAATCTGCACCTCTTCTGTGGCAAATTTTAATTTCATAATGATTCTTACTCAGTGAAGTCAAGCAGCAAAAGTTAAGTGACAATATGCAAATACTACTGGCCCATTTTGTTGTGAACTAAATATACAAGACTAGCTCTACACGTCACTGTTTATAACACATGGTGTTCATCTTTTGCCTGGTCGCTTTAAAAAACTGGGGCATAAATTAAGAGTATACCCACTTCTCCAGGCACCACTACACCAAGAAATGTTCATCCAATCAAAACGCTCGGTCAGAGCATTTTAATTGGCTTTCCTACCTGCCTGTTAACATATGTATTAGCATACCTCTGCGCACCCGGTTCGCTCAGACAGGATACGTCATCAGTGCGTTCACGCACGCTGTGCAGACAGAGCGAGAATGGCAGACAAACATCAATAACCCGATCTTCCTTCCTGGTACTGTAGTACTTTTAACGTTTTCTCACCGGTGAATGACACATGATGTAGCCTAGCGGTTCCCAATTCCATTCCTCGTGCCTCCCTGCTCTGCATATTTTGCATGTCTCGCTTAGTTAACACACACGATAGATAACCAGCTCGTTAGAAGTGAGCTACGTGCATGAACTGTGTTCCAATCAATATGATCCCTACACAGTGTTCATTGTTCCCTACACCCCGAACAGGGGAAATTCGTTGAAGTTTACTTCACTTCGGAACATTCATTCACGGATTTGGACTGCGCAGCAACTTCACACACAGACGAAACTTACTAGAGAAGTGTGAAGTGTGCGCGAGGATTGGAATTGGGAACTGCTGGTGTAGCCTATTGTAGTAATGTTGTCTCTGGTTTTCTAGTCTGTGAGCATATATGCGTTCAGGGGGCGTGGCTTTGGATGGCTATCGCAGGGAGGGTGGGCCGTTGGCTTTCAGTGCTATCAGGCTAAAGTTAGCATTTTCCAAGATCTCCTACTGCACCTTTAAGAACAATAATGTTTGCATTGTATGAACACATCATTGCTAAAGGCATGGCTCGTTCCAAGATGGTCTTGAGCAAGACACTACAGTGACTTTATTTAAATGCAGTTATCTGCTTTTATAATAATTGTGTCCAAATTAAAATTCGCAACAGAAATGCTGTGCATGCTGCTGCTGAGAAAAATTTAGATGACTGAATGCCTATGCAAGCTGCTGCTACTGCACAAGAGACTGAAAATAGTTTTAAATTTGTCATTCAAGAGTTGTATTTGTATGCGTCATGCCCAGGACTAAATCTGCCTCAAAAGCAGCTGCTCATTTATTTTGATAATTTAAAATATTTATATTGCATATTAAAGGTGCAATAGGTGATTGTCTTTAGAAACATTTTTTGTTATGCTGGTTGAAAGTCTCTTCACATCCCGATAGCAATCATTAAGTTAAGTGGTCTAAATGTATTTATCTGTATTTATATATTCTGTGGAAGGTGTAGGACCAGTGGTGAAGTGGAGGGTATACGCAGGTATACGGCATATACCCACTTCTTTATCAGTCGGCTTTGCGTATACCCACTTCTAAATCCCCTCTGATGCGCATCATTCATTAGTGTCCTGCATTAGGCAAAATCATGACAGTCCACCACATGAACCCAAGCTAATCCAATCGCATGTAAAAAAACAAACAAAAGAACAAAACAAATATTCCCTAAAAACACCCAGTAAAGACAGTGATGCGGTCAGGACCGTGACACTGGCTTCCTTTGAAATATGTTTGATGATGGCGCCTGTGCCCTCGTCCTCCGTCCCCGACCCTAGTCAGAGAGGATGCCGATTGCCGACAGTGACAGAGATGCTGCTTCTGACAAAATGTTAATTGCTGCAGTCTTTTTTTTTTTTTTTGAATTATTGCTAAATCTGCACCTCTTCTGTGGCAAATTTTAATTTCATAATGATTCTTACTCAGTGAAGTCAAGCAGCAAAAGTTAAGTGACAATATGCAAATACTACTGGCCCATTTTGTTGTGAACTAAATATACAAGACTAGCTCTACACGTCACTGTTTATAACACATGGTGTTCATCTTTTGCCTGGTCGCTTTAAAAAACTGGGGCATAAATTAAGAGTATACCCACTTCTCCAGGCACCACTACACCAAGAAATGTTCATCCAATCAAAACGCTCGGTCAGAGCATTTTAATTGGCTTTCCTACCTGCCTGTTAACATATGTATTAGCATACCTCTGCGCACCCGGTTCGCTCAGACAGGATACGTCATCAGTGCGTTCACGCACGCTGTGCAGACAGAGCGAGAATGGCAGACAAACATCAATAACCCGATCTTCCTTCCTGGTACTGTAGTACTTTTAACGTTTTCTCACCGGTGAATGACACATGATGTAGCCTAGCGGTTCCCAATTCCATTCCTCGTGCCTCCCTGCTCTGCATATTTTGCATGTCTCGCTTAGTTAACACACACGATAGATAACCAGCTCGTTAGAAGTGAGCTACGTGCATGAACTGTGTTCCAATCAATATGATCCCTACACAGTGTTCATTGTTCCCTACACCCCGAACAGGGGAAATTCGTTGAAGTTTACTTCACTTCGGAACATTCATTCACGGATTTGGACTGCGCAGCAACTTCACACACAGACGAAACTTACTAGAGAAGTGTGAAGTGTGCGCGAGGATTGGAATTGGGAACTGCTGGTGTAGCCTATTGTAGTAATGTTGTCTCTGGTTTTCTAGTCTGTGAGCATATATGCGTTCAGGGGGCGTGGCTTTGGATGGCTATCGCAGGGAGGGTGGGCCGTTGGCTTTCAGTGCTATCAGGCTAAAGTTAGCATTTTCCAAGATCTCCTACTGCACCTTTAAGAACAATAATGTTTGCATTGTATGAACACATCATTGCTAAAGGCATGGCTCGTTCCAAGATGGTCTTGAGCAAGACACTACAGTGACTTTATTTAAATGCAGTTATCTGCTTTTATAATAATTGTGTCCAAATTAAAATTCGCAACAGAAATGCTGTGCATGCTGCTGCTGAGAAAAATTTAGATGACTGAATGCCTATGCAAGCTGCTGCTACTGCACAAGAGACTGAACTGCTGAGCTCCATTAATTAGGCATACAAGTAGCAAGGCGAATGGCTATTTTATTCTAACACGGTGTCTATGCCAGACGCGAGCAGCACAACATGACAAAGTCAATAGACCCGTTACGATAGGTAAAGCTGTCCGCAATGTATGCAGTGTGATACGGCCAACGCAACAAAACTTCTGCTACTGCTGCTATTGATCATATTCACTAACATTTCAATACAGAGTTGAAGTACATGCTGTTGCTGTTAATGATATTCACAATGTTGTAGTAGGAATTTACTGTGCGAGCTGTTGCGGTTGTAATATTTAATCAGAATTTACTAAGCATAATCTACTGCTGCTGCACGAAACCTGCTGCAAGCCCTGTTGAATAAGCAAAGTAATAAATGCCTATTGCACTTTAAAGAGTTAATTTACCCTCCATGAGTTATCACTAAAATTTCATGAAACTAAAGCACTTTCTGCTGCCGCTGCTATATTAGCAACAATAATATGACTTGCTATGCATGCTGCTGCTAATATTATTTCTAACCTTGCATCTGAATTTGCTATGCATGCTATAAAATTTGCTAACATGCAATCTGAATAGCTATGCATACTGATGCACAAAAGTACTTAGAATTGCTACTGCCCCTTAAATAACCTTAACACAACCAATTAATGCTTATTTCGCTTTGAAGAGTTCTATAAACCCTGTTGAACTGAATAGCAAAGTAATAAATTGCCTATTTCACCTAAAGGTTCACTACCATCTAAGAATGAAATGTCATGCAACTAAATGAACTTTGTGCTGCTGCTGCTATATTAGCAACAATGATAATTGGATTGCCATGCAGACTGTTGCTAATATTTCTAACATTGCATCTGAATTTTGCCATGCGTGCTGCTGCTATTAAAATTCACTAAACTAGCGATCTGAATAACTATGCATACTGCTGCTACGCTGCACAAAAGTACTTAGAATTGCTATAAGCATCTTTATTAACAAGCAAACGCAATCAAATACTGCCTATTTCGCTTTGAAGAGTGCACAAAATCTACTGTAAGCCCTGTTAAAGGGATAGTTCACCCAAAAATGAAAATTATGTCATCATGTACTCACCCTCATGTCGTTCCAAACCTGTATGAGTTGCTTTCTTATGTTGAACATAAAAGAAGATATTTTGAAGACTGCTGGTAATCAAACAGTTGGTGGTTGCCATTGACTTCCATAGTAGGAAAAAAAATACTATGGAAGTCAATGGCAACCACCAACTGTTTGATTACCAGCAGTCTTCAAAATATCTTCTTTTATGTTCAACATAAGAAAGCAACTCATACAGGTTCGGAACGACATGAGGGTGAGTAAATGATGACAGAATTTTCATTTTTGGGTGAACTATCCCTTTAAATAAATATAAAATGCCTATTTCACTTTAAAGAGTTACTTACCCCATGCGTTATCACTGAAACTTCAAGCAACTGAAGTACTTTCTGCTGCCGCTGCTATATTAGCAACAATAATTTGACTTCCTGCTGCTAATATTATTTCTAACATTGCATATGAATTTGCTATGCACGCTGCTGCTATTAAATTCGCTACCTGCGATCTGAATGACTATGCATACTGCTGCTACAGCTGCACAAAGATACTTAGAATTGCTATAAGCCCCTTTTAAATAAACGAACACAAATGATGCCTATTTGCTTGAGTTCACATACCATTAATTTTTGGTCACTGAAACTTCAGCAATCGTAAGTCCCTTTGGATAAAAGCATCTGCAAAATGAATAAATGTAAATATAAACTACGGTCTACCTACTGCTACCACAACTAAACGCATAATTTGATTTGCTATGCATACTGCTATTAACAATTCGATAATAACGCAATCTGAATTCTATGATACTGCTGCTACACTCCATGAAAATACCATAATTGCTTTAAGCACAACTGAATACACACATAATAAATTCCAGTTTAAGAGTGCCCTACTATTAGCTTCATTGTACATGGGCTACTGATTGGAAATTATTATTAGTAGTAGTATCTTTATATTTTAAACGAATTAGGGAGATATCTCCTGTAAGCAGCTGACTAAGACAGCTCTGCTCCTGGCCTTGGCTTCCGCCAAACATGTCAGTGATTTGCATGGGCTCTCTGTTCATCCCTCGTGCACTAATTTTCTTGCAGTAACTAAGGCCTAACCCGGCCTTTACGCCAGAGTGCTTCCCAGCTTTCACGTGTAAAGTGTTTGAGCTTCTGCTTTTCACCCTCCTCTGCGGAGGATCAGAGGCTAAATGCTTTAGGTCCCGTTGTGCGGGGACCAGCCCTTTCAGGAGTGATCAGCTCTTCAACTAATGGGCCCCCTGAACATGGGGAAAATCCATTTCTAAGTAATGCCTCTCTCATTGGCTCGTGGAAGCCATCTCTCTGGCATATGAATCAAATGGAGTGCAGCCATGTGGGCCTCAGAGCGTAATTCACTAGGGACATAGTAGCCTTGCGAGCTCCGTTTAAAGGGGTTTCCTTGCAGGACATTTGTGCCGCTGCAAGCTGGGCCTCTCTACACACATTTGTCAAATACTACCGGCTTGATGTTACCTGCACCCCGGTAGCTTACTCGGTTTTAGGTGTGGGCTCTTTGTAGCCTTGTGCCCCTAGACCCTTTACACCTTTTTAAGCCTGGGTTGTCCAGCCCGGCTCATTCATCTCAGTAAGCAGGTCATCTGTACCCTCCCCTGACACATTATTATATTTTTATATGTATGTATATGTCAATATATACATATGTATATTTCTATAATATATGCCTTGGCATTATGTTGTTGTCAGATCTAGTATGCATGTTACCACATGTCATTTCTTACATGGCCGGTATTGCATTCTCCCTTTGTGTGGGGTCAGATATTTGGTGACGTGTCAAGCACCGCCTTGCCAGGTGACCGTTCTTTGGCTTACAGGGCCTCACTGTGAGTGTACTGGACAACTGGGGAGTTGTCCATATCTCCCATAGGTGGATCTCGAACACGAGATGATGAAAGAGAACAATAGGTTACTGTTCGTAACCCCGGTTCTCTGAAACATCGAGTGGAGAGATCCACCAAGTTTGCCCCGCTTGCTGCACGAGAAGCGAATATGCTCACTGAGGAAAGGTAGCGCGTGCAGGGGCTATATACGCTCGGTTAAGGGGCGTCCCCTTACCTGCCATTGGGCACGCCTACGCAGCTAGGCAAGAAAACATACAATCTACCTGAGGGATGACTTCTTTCACAATTTCACAGGCCAGTGGTTTGGGTGTAAAATTCCTTTTAGAATAATTGTACATAAATTCGCTGAGCAAACAAATGAGATTTTTTCTGAGAACCTTTTATACACCTTTTATATACTTAACTGCAGACATGGAAATGATGCACAGGATGTGGTACAGTACAAATATTTTGAGCATCCCTTATTCTGTCCCTTATTTTCCTATAAAGAATCACAATTAACCCTTATTTTCCTTTATGACATCCCTAGTTATATTGTTAGGAAAAGTTTAAATTGTGTGAATTTTTACTACTGTTTTAACTACTTGGTCTGTAATTAATTACTTTAAATTAAAAAAAAAAGAGCAAAACACTCTTTGTGGTGAAAGGGGCATTGCGATAAGACGATCTTGAGGCTTACTACCGAGTAATTTTAACATTCACAACATGCAAACATCAATAAAACTATTAAAGTTATTAAAAACAATCAACATGTAGCAAGAAACACAACAAGAAAGCTGGATGAACTAGTTTTGTATCAGATTTAGTTTGTAGGTACTGCACTTTGCTTTTGCAATAGTGTTGTAGTTGTTTAAGGTCATCCAAAGGCAGAGTGCAGTATCTGCATTTTGGTGGTCAAAGCTCACATCAGTGGTCATGGTTTTTATCTATAAAAAATTTCATCCTAAGGCTGTAAATGAATGCATTGCCACTAATCTACCCACAATATGTTTGACTGGCTAATGTAAAAACTTTAAAGGCATTTTTCTCAGTTTCAGTGTTTGCGTAGTTACTGCACTTTGCCTTTGTAGGGCAGTATATATTTATGCTGGAGTTTTGACCTCTTTGGATACCTACCTCAAAATTCAATGGAAGAGAGAAAAAAGGCTATTGTAAACGAAAACTGCCATACCAGAGAGTTGGTAATCTTCATATTATTTGCACTGCAAACTCTTTTTATAGGCTGTAATACGGTTATATATGAAGAATTTCACATTCTTCCAGTCCCGGTTCTTTAGAGCTCCTGGTTCAGCCTTTAAACACTTCTCACAGTCACTCTTTCCTGGTACAGTAAAAGATGTGATGAATCGCATCATGTGCCTTTCCACAGCCTGCACCTCTGTCTGCTGCCAGGGATTTTTCTTATGGGTTGTTTGACCTTAAAGTGGTGAAAAAAAATTAACAAGATACATAAGGGTGTGTGCTGGAATTCTGATCCAAACTTATGAATCTTACAACAGTATTTATATGATTAGCATATTATTTCAAATGACAGTAAATTTACTTGAAGTTGAGCTGCTTCTACAGTATGAGTAATGTAAGTTTTTACTATGCATCTATTCACTCAATAACTGCTCTAGGGGTTAGTTATTGGTGATAATTTAATTATTAAAACAGCCAAAGTTACTAGTCCATTTAAAGTACCTAGTAGATTTTAGCAACAACCAAGTAACCTTAACAACTACAGATGGGTTTCTGAGCACTGTAATCTTGATCAAAATCAGCATTTAGGCCTGGTTTCCCAGACAGGTCTTAACTAAGCCAGGATTAGGCCATAGTTCAATTAGGACATTTAAGTAGTTTTTATAAATGTGCTTAGAAAAAAACATTACTGGTGTGCTTTTTGAGACAAAACAAAGGCACTGATATATTTTAAGATCAGTCAGTGCAAGTTTCTTTCAGTTGAAAGAGCTCAGACTTACATTTTAGTCTAGGGCTAGTTTTAAGCCTTGTCTGTGAAACCAGGGGTTAGTGACTTAGGGCCTCATGTATACAATTTTGCATAGATTTCATCCTTAAAATCTGATTTTGTTCAAGGGATGTCAATCCCATAATCAATCGTAATTTAAATTAATTATCAATTAATCGTTACCCTTCATACTGCCAGATTGCATATAGTCACCAGCATGACAGATTCAAATGGTATCATGATGCTCGTTGTAGTACTGTATTTTAAAACACAATCACAACATTTGCAATTAAAACTATCACCATCTAAAGTAAAATGATTGCAAACGTAACTATGCCGCAAATTAATCATTTGTTCCCACAACATATTAATTTGTTTCCTTATTTCCCCTATTTGTTCCCACAATTCAAGAGTGATAATGAAGTGGCTTGGAAAACATTACATTAAAATTCTGGATTCATGGCCAGGTAACTCCCCGGATCTTAATCCAATGGAGAACCTATGGTCAATCCTCAAAAGCCGAGTGGACAAGCAGAAGCCCACAAATTGTGATCAACTCCATACACTAAGGCAAGTATGGAAAGCCTTCAGTCAGGATTTGACCCAGAAACTGATATCCAGAAGCGAATTACAGGGGCCATGAAGGGTCAACATTGTAAATATTGACTCTTTGCATATTTAGCATAGTTCAATGACCATTTCACAAGTTTTATGTGCTGTCCAAGGAGAGGACTCTGAGCTGAGAATATGGCCTGAACCTAGAGTACTCCCCCATATCCCAGGCTGGGACAAAAATAGTCAAGATTGAGGAGTTGGGGTGGTCTAAAGACACCGGAAAACTGCCGTAGGGACAGAGGTGAGCTGGCTATATATAATAGGTCTCCTCTCATGCTAATTGGGTAGATTATCTGAACGTGCTCCTCTAGAATTTGTTAAATTAACATAATTTTGTGACTATGCAATGTTTATATATCAGGCCACTGGCCTGAGGCATGGAAATTGGGAATATTCTTGGAATGGGCTTTTCCTGCTACTGCAACATTTGGCCCTTTCTAGTTTAATTTGTAGACTGACAGTGCATCTTCAAAAAGCAGCAAACATAAACATTACTGACATAAAAATGTGTAGAGAGTTCACCTTGAAAACAAGGCCTCACAGCACTGGGTCCTGAAGGTGGTGATGGTGGTTTTTGTCTTTTGGGTGGTGGTGGCAAGTCATTCCTCTCTGCAGGAGGATGTGCCTCCTCTGCTATTGGTTCTATGGAAGATTATAAAAATATGATCAATTCAATATTTTCAGAAAGATATACTTTACATGTACTATACAAGACAGACAATACACTGTAATACACTGTATACACAATACACTTACATAAAACTTATGTAATTTGCAGTACTAATGGCTTTAAAATATAATTGGTGCATAAACATGCAATAAACCATTAAGTGTGCATTTCTGTTCATCATCGCAAGTATAATTGAACCACATAATATTCAATTAATGAATGGGGAATCCTTCATGTTATTTTTATTTTCTCTTGACTGATATTGCTCATGAAGTTTACTTTTGAAGGGGTCATATGATGCTGCTAAAAAGAACATTATTTTGTGTATTTGGTGTAATGAAATGCGTTTATGCGGTTTAAGGTTCAAAACACACATTATTTTCCACATTCTGTACATCGAGGATGGGCAACTGGCGGCCCGCAGTGTCTTTTAGTACGGCCCGCTGGATCATATTAGACTCGGATGATCAATTTGAAAACATTTGAAAAGCAAGTCACGTAAAGACTGCTTTCAGTTTATGATGTTAATACTATCTCCAACCAGGAGCGAACATTAGCAAATAATAAATGAAAAACTGACCATGAAAACAGTATTTTCAAGTCAACATGGTAAACAGATTATATTTTTACCAAGTTCAAGGGGATACCCATATGTTTGGAAATCTGTATTTTATTTAAAGGAGGTGGCGGGCTTGAGAACGGTGCGGTCGGCGATTTCGACGAAGGAGCGTCCGGAATGACGTGATGACTCCGGGCTGGACTCCGCTTCGTCCACGGTGAAAGCCGATCCGGCGATCCACAGCGCAAAGTTGTAGTATTTCCTCAGCAACCAGCACGGATCAGCTCCAGGCATGACAAAGCAGATATCGTCCTCTTTTGGAAGGCCAAACAAAGTAGTTTCGCTTTCACTACGAAGCACACAGCGCCTTCACGACATGGCGGCGGCAGCAACAATACTACAGCGAGAATAAAAGTTACGCCTTCATTCTTTGCGTGAACATTTGGGCGACGTTATGCAAATCTTCCCACATCGCGAAATAGATAGGTGGGGGCGTGTTAGAACGAGCCGTTTTAGGTAGGCGTGGCTGACTCTTAACGTTTATAAAGAATATCTCTTTGGATTTGAGTGTGTAGTCTTTGCAACTTTACTGATCTTCTTTATGCACCAAGAGCTTGTAATACTCCAAAGAGAAAGGAAAAATTGAAATCGCATCATATGACCCCTTTAACTGTGAAGCCTGCTCAGGAAAAGTGTTTGATAGTAATACAAACCATAAACAGTAGATGAACAGTGTCCCTCTTGTATTATCCTGTCTTCATCACTTTCCAGAACTTTTTCTGTTGAGGCAAAACAAAGCACAACTTAACAATGTGATTTAGCAGAAAGGAATATATGGTAAACACAGAACAAGCAAACAAAGAAAAAATAAATCAACAAACACACCATCAGGATCTATCACAATTTCATCCAAGTTCTTGCCGCAGTAGATGAACAGTGTCCCTCTTGTATTATCCTGTCTTCATCACTTTCCAGAACTTTTTCTGTTGAGGCAAAACAAAGCACAACTTAATGTGATTTAGCAGAAAGGAATATATGGTAAACACAGAACAAGCAAACAAAGAAAAAATAAATCAACAAACACACCATCAGGATCTATCACAATTTCATCCAAGTTCTTGCCATGGAACACAGCTAATCTTCCTTGTTCGAGAGCCATTAGAACTTTGCAGATCTTGGCGAGTTGCAGGGTCTTCTCAGGGAGTCGGCAGAATTCACGATAAATTTTTATATCATGTCCAAGAAAGTTTGCAAGCTGGTCCATCTCCGTTTTGGTCATATTCAGCACTGTTGAAAGGATTGCAGCATGCTTTCGCAGTCTGGTAGATGTCAGTGATTTGGGACACTTTGCACCACATGCTTTTGCAAAGCCACGGAGGCAGTCTGACCCTCGGAAATGTGTCATGGCTTCTGGTCTTGCAAACATGTAACCATTGTCTTTTAGAACCCCACAAGGCTCTCTCTGCTTAACAAGGAGTTCCAAGGAACACAGCATTTTTGGAGTCAGAAGAATTGGAACTGGTTGACCACACTTTCCCATGGTGATAATCTTTGAGAAGTGTCTGCAGAGTTTTTTTTCTACTTCGGACAGTGCCCAGTCCACACCGTCATGTGGATCAGAAGTGTCTCCTGAAAAAAACACAGACAATGGCATGCTCGCCACCTCTCCTCCCCTGCGTCGGTTAAAGAGAATTATCTGGGCTAGACAGACCTTTGCCAGCTCCATCCAGGCTTTAGTAGAGGAACTTTCAGAGAGTGATTTGTACCACTCATCTTGCACTTGACAGAGATATGTGTGCATTTTTTGGACATCTTCAGTAAAGGGCATGAGAGCGGGCACATTCCACTTTGCTTCCCTAATATTCCTCAATGCTGTGTCTAAGATCATTTCGTTCCACTTTTCCTGATGGACGTCTTGAAACTCACTGGCATTCTTCACTCGCTGTTTGTCATTTGACAATAAGCCCTGAGCTTTTAAGAGTTTGCTTACTTGAAGCAGAGAATTCCCAAGCTTCTTTGCAAGTGATGGAATCATAAACTTGTCAGATTCATACCCACATGTATACTTGACAGCTTTGACAGTCTCCATGTACTTCTTTGGATTCACACAATCTTCCATTGTTTTTAAGGAGGTGACTCTCCTAGCATTGTGAACCAACCTTCCCAATTCTCGCATCTTGTCTCGCACACACCGTTTATTCTTGGCTGATAGCCCACCCATGTTTAACAAATGCTGACCAATATCAATAATTACTTTGTCTTTTTTTATTATATCTGTGATTGGGTCAAGATTCATGACACTAATTACTTCCCATAGTTGTTTAGTCATGTTTGAAGGCACAGGCCCTGTGTATATACACATCGACTGAACACGTTTTTTTCCTGGTTTGAGGGGGACCGATTGAGGTTGAAGTATACAAGTGCGCATATGTCGCCACAGGACCTTTCTTGCAAAAAGTCCTTGACAGTAAGCACAATGCATGAAATCTTTTCCCTGCGAACCAACCTTCCCAATTCTCGCATCTTGTCTCGCACACACCGTTTATTCTTGGCTGATAGCCCACCCATGTTTAACAAATGCTGACCAATATCAATAATTACTTTGTCTTTTTTTATTATATCTGTGATTGGGTCAAGATTCATGACACTAATTACTTCCCATAGTTGTTTAGTCATGTTTGAAGGCACAGGCCCGGTGTATATACACATCGACTGAACACGTTTTTTTCCTGGTTTGAGGGGGACCGATTGAGGTTGAAGTATACAAGTGCGCATATGTCGCCACAGGACCTTTCTTGCAAAAAGTCCTTGACAGTACGCACAATGCATGAAATCTTTTCCCTGCGCTTCTTTGGATGGCCGTTTATATGGCACTAGTTCCCCCTTTCCTGATTCCATAACAGCAGCATTGTGAGCATAGTTTCCTCTGTTGCGAATATAATCTAGCTGTTTTTTTCTCTCCTTGGAACTCTTTGGAAAGCTTAGCGCTTTAGCCACATCGGATTCATTTACATGTGAACTTTCTAGATGCCTTGCCATCTTAGCATAAGGCTTACAGCAATACAAGCAGTAATGTCTCTTGTTGTACACTCTACTAACACCTCTTTTTTGGTACGCACTAACAACTATGCCATCTATTGCATTCTGACTTGAACATGGTTCTTCTGTTCCAGATGCTTCAGATGCAAGGCTGTGCCTTTTTTCTGGTGTTGCTGTGTCACAGTCAAGAGAACTCAGTGAGCCAGAATCATCAACATCCAGTTCATCATAAAGAAGCTGAAGTTTTGTCTGGTTTGGTATAAGATTAGCATCACTGTCAAAGTCACTTTCAGAAGTGGTATCTGTAAAGTAATCATCTGAACTCTCTGGTGTAGAATCAAAAAGTTCAACAGAATCTTCGAGATCTTTGTCTTTCATCTAAAAAGATAATGATTAGAAATGTCACAGTTAATTAATTGATCAGTAATTTAACAGACATCAATTGGTAACTGCTGTGATAATTAATCTGTAAAGTAATCATCTGAACTCTCTGGTGTAGAATCAAAAAGTTCAACAGAATCTTCAAGATCTTTGTCTTTCATCTAAAAAGATAATGATTAGAAATGTCACAGTTAATTAATTGATCAGTAATTTAACAGACATCAATTGGTAACTGCTGTGATAATTCATTGTTCAGATACATTAATTAAAAACCAATTAAATGCTTTTGGGCTTAAATAAAGGTGATTCAAAATTCTTGAAAGTGATGATCTTTGATCTTTTGAAGTCCAAATGATTTATCACCTAAGAATATATTAATATTTTATAGTAGAATACATAATTATATAATATTAGATATTACATAATTCACTGAGTAATTAATGATGAGAATCAATTTGAGATTTTTTAGCTCTAAGCAAAAGCCCTGTTCAATACAAAATGAGTTTTGTTGCGACTTCAACTTACTATTATACTTTTAGTCGGTCTCAGTCTTGGTACAAAAATCTCATTTTCATTTCGGAGCGGTGTCACAATCTGTAAACAAAAAGCAAAAGTATAAACAACACTTTACATTATTACATTACATTATTAGGTATTTGAAATTAAAAAATATACATTTGTTCTTAAGGTTAAATATGCTTGAAAAAAACACTTAAACATGGCAATGAGAGAGAGTGGATTTCTAAATCTTTAGTGATAAATGTGAACATACTTGAGGAGAGTTATTTTGACCAGTAGCATCATTGAACGGAGTCTGTGACCTGGGGGAAGGATCAGAGTCACCTTCTGCCTTGGTTTTAGCAGCAATGCTGGTCGTCTGTAAAAGACAATGGGGAAACACAGGAGATAAATATGATGTAGATGCTGCATGACGTCCGAATAAAATCAACTTCATTTTAAAACCTGTGAATGATAAAACTGGCCCTAAATATAAGACTACCACTAATGTGTTGCAACAATACAAGCTATTCTGAACACAGTGTGCTGTGCAACATACTTGTGTTCTCCATGGGTAGTCTTCTCCTCCATAATCATATGTAATTTCTTCTCCTTCTTTAATGTCATTCAGGGCAAACAAACAAAGGTGTATCTCTCCATTCACATCAATTTTCTTCATCTCACAGTTTGGATGTTTGTGGTCATCATTAACTATCCGCCCAAAAGATCCATCTTCTCTAGAGGCATCAATACTTAATATGAAAACAAGAAAAGGATAAATACATGTACTATAATACATCATCACAAATCAGTGCCTCATTTACTATAATACAGCATAAAAATATAGCTTTGGTGCAACTTGACTTCTTACCTCCATGTTTTCCCTCTCCACTTAAACTCAAACATAAATGCAGCACTGGATGTGTGGTAACGTTTTCTTCTGCTCTGCAACTCTGCATCATTTATTATATCTCCCCTATATTCAACAACAAATTCACCTTTGCAAATGGAACCCTTTGCAAATAGACCATGCCCTGCAAAATACATCAAAAACATTAAAAAAAATAAATAAAAAACAGGAAAACCTATAGATTTAAAATGTCATCAACTAGTCTATGAAAATAAATGCTACAAAATTTTTAAAAAGCATCTTGCAGAAAGGATACCAACAATTACACACACACTAAAAAAAAAAGACATCAACAGTTGGTAGCTGATTAAAAATATTCTGCAACCAGGTGCCTATTTAATGCACATATGACAGTTATTAACCAATAAATCACACCAGACACCACCTTACCTTTCACTGCATTGATATACTTCACCTCTAATTTGAATGTTTTGTCAGTCTTTGAAACAATATGATCCATGACATCCTTAAGGGAGCCGATTTGTGATGACTGCAAGAAAAAAAAAGTGTGAAACCGTGAACTACTGTGAAATTAGGGGGACATGAAGAATAAAACTAGAATGTTCAATAAGCAGATAAGAATGCTCTTGTAATGTAACACTGTTCTGTATCATAGTTATGTAACATTAATTACAATGTTATCATAATGCATCGATGAAACACAAGAAAGCAGAACGAAGGTTCAGTTAAATATCTGACACAATGCTAGCCTTGAGGGCATCAACACAACTCATTATTTTCATATAATCCCAGGTAGCCTTGGGCAATTATTTAACTACTGATTTGAACCTTATCCCAACTGCTCTATTGGACAATCTCACCACACAAACCCATGTTTATCTGAACCACTGTCATAACATTTAATCATTCATAATTTTAAAAGTTTAATCATTTTGTCATTCAAAGCTACTCACCAATTCATTGTTTGTTACCTTTTCGAGTTAATGCTTCCCACTACTTCCTGTTTCTGTCTAGTCAGAGGCTGCACTGCTGTTTGTATATCCAAGCAAGCACACCATCATCAAGGGATGTGGGGAAGCATGGTCTGACTATGGACGTGGCGACAAGAGCCAATAGACTCTGTGCACAAGCGTAGCGACGAACTTCCGCTGTCGCCAGAAGTCAGAATATCAGTTTCCGGTTTTCATTTGCGTCGGCCAAAATGTCAGTATTTTCTAGATGTCTCCGAGATCTTCAAGTAAGAATCAGCGATGGCCATCGTATCGTTAATGCCCGGTTCCCTGCAAGCGAAACATGGGATTCAAACGAAAATTGTATTATCAAACTTCTCACCCTCTCAGTTTTTAAATAAAGATCAGGGCACACAGGTGAAGTCATTGTGTTACAGGTCCATTTAAGAACACTTTAGCAAACTTTTTTTAAAGTACTTATGGAAATAATTTAAAATAATATACTTAACTGTAACAAAATGTGATGCTTTTGGACACTTAAATGCACGTTAATTGCAATTAAATTAAAATGTGCACTTTTGTTGAACCACTTAAGTACATCTTTATATGTAATTTCACAATTATTCCAGAAACTTTAATTTGATGTTATTATAAAGTGTACTTTTTTTAAACTTTCCTTGTTTGTTAAGAATTATAATCATGAAATTGGGCTCCCTTTTAAGTACACTCAGGTGGCCTGTTATTAAAATTATTAATATTATTATTAGATTTGAGTTACATTAAACATGAATGACCTTACCTGAATCTATAGGAACATCAGGAACACCGAGTTATAATAAGTAATATGATTATAACATGAACAAGAATGCATGCAGTAACCCGAATGGGGACCAGCAAGGTAAATTCACCTGCCAATTAAGCCACTGTTTTCATTACATATATGCATGGCAAAATCCCCGGGACATTAGAAATGCCGGGTTATTAAAGTAACAAGCTTATATTTGTAGGTTTATCAATCCTAGCTTCACCATTCACTCGAACTGTGAGTTTTCTCCGCATTCCTCATTATGGACCTGTAGCACAATGACCAGACAATGATTTCACCTGTACCCTTATCTTTATTAAAAACTGAGAGGGGGAGATGTTTAATACAAGTGATAATACAATTATAAACATTAAAAAAACGAACAGTCTGCGTTTAAAATTGAGAAAGACAAGCTTCTAAAATGAGCATGTCGCTAACTAGCTTCGCTGCTGCCGAAATAACACATTAGATTAAACTATTTGTGCATATAACGCTATATATTTAGTTTGAATCCCGTTTCGCTTGCGTATTGGAGCAGGGAACCGGGCATTAACGAAACGATGGACATCACTGATTCTTACTTATAGATCTCGGAGACATCTAGAAAATACTGACATTTTGGGCAACGCGATTGAAAACCGGAAACTGATATCCCGATTTCTGGCGACAGCGGAAGTTCGTTGCTACGCTTGTGCACAGAGTCCATACCGCGTGTTATCGTAAGTTATGACTATAACTATGGATCTATGAGACCGAATGATGACCGTCACCACGGTCTTACCTTGAATGGCACCATTCTGCTACCCTTCCAAGACCTAATATAAACAAAGTCAGGTGACTGACCCTGAGTGGTTGGCTCACTATAAAACATCCGGGTGAACAAAGCACTTCCTCTTGCCTGAAACACCTCAGTTCATCCCGAGTGACAAGAGATGGTGAAGGTCATCATTCGGTCTCATAGATCCATAGTTATAGTCATAACTTAAGATCTATTTCGACCTCACTAAGACCGTCACCACGGTCTTATCTTGGATGACTAGTACCATCAAGGTCACGAGGGGTGAGAAGCCTCTCCTTCCTCGCATCCCTGCTTAGAAGCTGACCGTAGAACTGCAGACTCAAATGAAACTGGTTCGGCCACATTGACCTTGTAATACCGGGCAAAGGTACAAGGTGAACTCCATGAGGCCGCAACACATATATCTGTGAGTGCCACACCTTTCAGTGTTGCCCATGATGTGGCTAGACTCCTAGTAGAATGAGCCACCAGGTTCCCTGGAACTGGTAAGCTCTGGGTGGAGTATGCTTGTGCAATAGTGTCCACTATCCAGTGTGAGAGACGCTGCTTCGAGATTGGTCGCCCAATACTTTTTTTATCAAAACACAGAAACAACTGAGTATGTGACTGCCGCAACCCCTGTGTGCGCTCAATGTGTGTGCGGAGTGCTCTTACTGGGCATAGACTAGAAAGGTCAAGACCTGTAGATAAGGAATCTGGGTCAGGTTTAAAGGCTGCAAGTTCAACCGCCTGATTGATTGTGCAAGGATTGAGAATCTTGGGAAGAAAAGCTGGATTCGGCCAGAGAGACACACCTGAGTAATCCGTTTTCCATCTCAAACAATCGTCACTTACTGACAAAGCATGTAGCTCACCCACTCTTTTTGCTGAACTGATAGCCAGAAGGAAAACGGTTTTCCACGATAATGATCTAAGATCAGCCTGGGCCAATGGTTCAAATGGGGCAGGGCTTGATGCTTACTTTTTTCAGAAGGAGCACATGTGCTCCTAAGTTGAAAAATTTAGGAGCACATTAAAGAATTTTAGGGGCGCAATGAAAATTTATTAAATAATGTGTTTTTACCTAATAAAGAGATACGAGGACCTTTAAAAGCAAAGTGATTTCATTTATTTGAAAACTTTAATTATTTCAACAGCTGTCTCTTTAAACAGTATTTCATATTTATTTTATCTAAATTGTATGAACTGTACGATCTGACTGAACATCTGTAATAAAGTAGTTCTTGATTCTAAATTCTTAAAGTCTCAGGAGCACGGGAATATGTTTTCGGTTGGGGGTGCTGTGTGTGTCCGTGTTGGGGGTTTGGGGCTGGTTCACTTACGCTGGTGCTCGTGCTGGGGCTGGTGTTGGATGCCGATTTTGGAAAGTTTTTGCTGGGATGGGCATTTAAAAAAAATCTGAAATTCGCTTTTGCGCCATTATCTCCTTTTATTAAAGTTAATCTTGTTCGCATTCTGTATTGTTCATGTCTGATACCACGCGCTAGCGTCACATGTTCATGAGGATTAGGCTAATCATCCCATTTAGAAAACCGCATTATTAGTGTTTTATCTGCTTGGTTTTTTATTTTGGTAAAAAATAAATAATTATTCGCACATGTGCAACTAAATACATTTTTCAGTTCGCACACATCTATTTTTAGTCACACATTGCTCTTCTCGTGGTTCATGCAAAATCCAAGTTCCTTTATATGATTGATAACCCTCTCTGTGTCCTCCAAGACCTGATGACGGCTTGGTGCACAGATCAGCCAGTCGTCTAGGTATGGAAGGATCTTTATACCCACCATTTGAAGGGGGCAAAGGGCGGCTGACACCACTCTGGTGAAGACACGAGGTGAGAGAGAGAGAGACCAAAGGGGAGGACCTCGAACTGATATGCCTGGCTTTGGAAGGCAAAGCGAAGGAACTTTTTGTGGTCTGGATGAATAGGTACATGAAAATACGCGTCTTTGAGATCTATTGTTGTGAACCATTCATTTGGTTCTATAATCTTCAAGATTTGTGCCGTGGTCAACATCTTGAACCGTAGTATTTTTATGTACGCATTTAAACATCTCAGGTCTAAGCTGGGTCGGAGACCACCATCTTTTTTGGGCACGAGGAAATAATTTGAATAAAACCTAGTGAGCTGTTCGTTGGGCTTTAGCCGAGAAATTGCTTTCTTTTTTAGAAGGGTCGCAATTTCTTCTGATAAAATCTGTGCCTGGACTTGGTCTTTTACCACAGTCATGTGTACTCCTAAAAATGGGGGAGGTTGACGCCGGAACTGAATTCTGTAACCATTTTTTACTGTAGCCAGTACCCACTGGTCTGAAATGTTTTTCTCCCAACTGTCCAGGCATGGCTGGGAGCACATTCCGGCCCCCCTCTTGGTATTGCTATGCAGTCCCTCCTTGGGGGCCTGAGCCCCTGGGATTCTGCTTTCTCCGCGGTGCATCCCTAATTGATGACCGGGACTGGGCCACCTGTCTGCGCCATGGTTCCCGCCTGGCACTTCGACTGTCATAAAATCTCCGAAAACGACTATTCTGTCTAACACCAATCTCCTATGATTGTGGTCAATTAAAGTGGGGAGGCTGTGGAGGCTGACTGCCTTGATATGACTGTCTAGTTATCCTAGAGCGACCAAATGTGCGCTGCACTGACTCTCTTCTACAACGCGCTTGTTCTGCTTTATCAAGCATTGCTTGAGAATCCGGGTGAAACACCCGACCTGGAGTAACTGGCATGTAAGTCAGTTCTCTTCTGATAGTGTCAGGCAGGGAGGTTTGTGCTAACCAGATCTGCCTATGAGAAACTATTGCCGATGACATGGAGGCACCAACGTCCCTAGTAAACTGTGCATGTGTAGCAAGGGCTGCATCCACCAAACCTAAAACGTTCCGATCCTCCTGACTTATAATTTTCCTCAGAGCAGCCAGAATTATGGCTAGAGCATTACCAGACCGGGCTGCACATGTGGCCACATTATAAGTCCGACACACCAGATTATCGGTCTTCTCACATTCTTTCCTGGGACACCGGGGGTCATCAGTCACCCAGTCTGGACCTAGAGGTGTTAATGCTGCCATTTCACGCTCCACTGCTGGCATACCACCCATGCTTGTTTCTGTAGCATACTGTATTTTGACAAAGCGCCTGCAACCAGCATTGAACTGAGGGGCGGTTTTAGGATTATTCCAGGCCTTGCTTAACATCTGTGAATAATCTTCAGCAACAGGGATCAAAACAAAAGGTTGGAACTGAGAGACCCCTGCCCACACCCCTTGCCCCACCGACGCTGTCTGAGTTTCAGTCTGTTTCCAACTCCAAAATTCTTGCAGCGCTAAGAATTCGAGTGACCATATCAGGCTGTGCAGAGTCTCCATCATTAACAGAAGACTTTGACTTATCCCCCTGATCC